CTAACTGCCTCGTTACGGATTCGCCGACACCAACCCACGCGAGCTATGGTTCTGAGACAACGATTGTCGAACACCTGAAGACGTCTCAGTTCCGCTGCTTGAACAGGTCAAGTCTCACAGCCATACAACAAAACAGCCCATGAATCTACAGTTGTGAATCTACAACTTTTTAATCCACCTTTGAACATTTAACGCACACTGCTAAACATCTGTGCTACGTACTAAACAGTGTGTTAATCTAACTAGCTAATCATTTTATTGATGTCTTTTTTAAAACATAGATGGCAGTGTATGGCTCTCGCATTTGCCAGAGTAATCAATGCAACCCGGAATTCTAAATACACCAGTTAATATAAAACATACATTATACGCAGTTTGCAGTGAAGAATGAACGAAATGATAATATCGCGCGTTGCTTTCTCAAGTTTTTAGCAACACGAATTTTAGAGAGGAAACAGTCCGGTAGCAGTTAGGCTACTTCCCTCGACTTAACAAGTATAAATATACAACGTAAGAGCGAAGAACATTCAGTTCAACAGCTTTGTCTTTCAGTTTATGCTTTGTCCATCCGGAGTTAATCTTCCAGGCTCCAACAAAAGCCATCCTGTTTTCATCACGATTTATACGGAACTGTTTGAATACCCCGAAAATATCAGCATGAGGCCCATGTTAGAGGTCATAAATGATGCTCACTAATCGTGCTGACAGATATTTACTTTTATTCATCAGAGAGATATAGAGCTAATTAAGTAAAAATTCAACGACAGGCGTCCTTGGAAGCTCCGTTAAGCAGGTCTGCATTAAACGCTCAGATTTCGGTTTGTCCTAGCCGACCACGTGACGTGGGCCCCGTGACTGAAGGGTAAGTGCCACTATATCTTGTCTGGGTGCGATTTAATCACATCGTGGACCAGCTGCTAATAGCCGAATGGTTTACTACTTGAACCGTCACCTGAGAGATTACGAATTCGAATCATTCTGGTGATGTGTGAGATACGTACTGTCGGTGATTTTCAGTAAGGATGAACCAACTGCAAATTGCTTCTCGGCGGTTCGGCTTAGATTGTCTTCACTTACTAGAGGCTGACATCTTTTTCCCCATCAACAGCCTCAATGGAGACAGCAGACCACGCAGACCATTAGCCCCCTCATGACATGGGTGAACTATCTCAAATGACAGGAGTTACCCATCAGAGTTACCCATCAGCCACGTAAAGAAACATCGGTTAAAAAATGAACTAATCCGATCGGCGGTAACCCAAATATAAGCCATGCCTTTAATCGAAATCAGTTCAGCGTTGCTCCGAAAAAAACTGTAACCAAGCAAATATTGAGGATCTTATGTGATAATTATCATAGGAAAAGAGACGGTCTGTCCTATTCCTCTTGGATTTCATCGGTCTTCAAGCAATCTTTTATCACGACACACACTATCACACCAATCGCGTTGATGTTATTTTTTTTGTTCAGTGATAAAACTAGGCTTACTGTATATTTCGGCAGTGTGGAGACACGCCGAGGATGGAAAATCAGAAAATGTGAGGGAAAAAATCCAAGAAACAATTGGTGCAAACTGCGACTAATAGAGCCACCGTCAGTCTGTCACTTGGACAGTCATTCGTTCTTTCCTGATCTTGTGAAAATACGACGCCATATTGAAAGTTTGACTGATCATTAGCTGAGATGGCAACGTTTCTGTGACTAATAGGTTTCTTAGCCCGTCAACATTAACTGAAGTCATGAAATGGAATATAGGTTGCGTCCAAACTGACTGATATCACAGGACAGGCATTTTAGAAATTTTCAAAGTATCCCTATAATATCTTTAAGGAACAACTGTTGACTTAACTGTTCTCTGAATCCTGCCCTTAGGTCGATACTTATCTGATAGTTACATAGTTGAAAAGATTTTGGACAGTAGAGTTGTCATTTGCCATTCTCCATCTTTGATATGCAACTATCAGATGCTTGCTAGTCCAAAAAAAGGGTCCCGAAAACAGCATTATCGTCAACTGCCATTTCGTGACTTTGCAGTCACGGGCCAAACTCGGCTCGGATATTGTCGAATAGTACCTCACCTTGTCACGAATTTCCTGACGCATTACTTCTCGTTCTTCTTCCATCTTTTGATGTTTTGCTTCACGGCGTGCCTCAGCTTCCCTGATGGCAGCCTCAACCTCTGGATCGATTTCTTTGGCACCCGATCCTCCGTCATCGTCCTTCTTGTCTCCAAGTGCACCTACGTGGGTGACAAAGAAAACACAACATTCCTGAAAAACTGCTCCGAAAAAAAAACATATTACATGTGTGCTATCGCTAACCGCGTTTATCAGTACTCTAGTAATATGGATTTCTGTAGGGGAACTTTCTCGTCAGTCATTTATTGAAAACACATGTTTGCTACGTACACAGCTCAAACAATGTTTGGTCACTAAGTAGTGTGGACACACAGATGAGTTACGTATCAAATGGGAATATTTGCTAAACCACTCGGACTTGCCTGAATCTTTCATGCTGACAAAAAAGCATTTTAATAAGCAGGCTCAACTGTTTTAAGCTGCGCGTTCTGAAGTGTTTGATAAAAGGGGCATGTGATCACGTCTTCTGCCATTTTAAAATTGAATTTTAATACACACCGTATGTCAGGGAGCGCATCTGGTTGCGCAGCTTCGGTTGCTCTGGTAACCATTACTTGGGGGCTGTGAATAGTTGTGTTGGCATGGTGAAAGAATATGGTCTAATTTAAATGACTTCCACTCTTATCAGTCTTGCATCCATTGCCTTATAACTTCAGATGAGCGACCCAGTTTTTGTTGCCGTTCTCAGAGTTCTCCACCACGGAACTTGGATTGGGTGGACCAACATGTAATTTACGAAAGCCTGCATTCCTCTTAGGAGTGGATTTATAATCAGCAAAAGTTGTCTGATCTGGACACATTACGGACCGATCCTATGGTTAACGAATAACTCAGCTGCAATAGCTGAGTTTCCCAAAATTTGATTTCTTATGCCTGCCTGGGTTCCAGGTTTTGAATGTGACTTCTAATCTGGCTAGTAGGCTGATTTGTCCCTGAATCAACCTGGATGCCGATTTAAAGTCGTAAAAATACACCACTGTATAGGTAAGGACCACGGAACAATATAAAGACGCTCAGTGAAACCGTCCGGTCTTTTTCTCAAGAGTCATTAGTGGTCCCGAGGCTGTGAAAGAGACCAGCACTCCGAAAGGAGCCCAACATAGTATTATCGATGTGAAGAAGCGATCGAAATTATGTGCCCATATCTAAAGTTTACTCTTATGAAACACCTTCACAGAGAGTGGTGGAATCTCTTACCGAAGAAAACTGTCTTTCGGTGGCGAACACGTTTCAAACAATAATGCTGCATTGGGTGTCTATATGGGAACAATTGTTATAGCGTTTATTTTCTTATGAACTATCAGTCATAGATTCCAGCATCTAGTATGGCGTATGTCAGATTGAAATATGGCGACGGTGTGCGCAAAAAACCCTGCATAAAATCAATAAAAAAACTATTCTTCCGAACTTGCTTACCCTTCACTGAATCCAGCTGGTTCCCAATCAGCTGTTTTGCAATAAAGCTCGCCATTGTAGTGTAAAATTATTCCCCACCAAAGGGTTTGATTATAGCCTGTAAAAGTGATCCAAAATCTTGCAGGTTCCGTGTAGCCACTTTCAAATTATGGCATAGAGGCTGTAAAAAAAATCCAGTAGGTAAACCATCTTGTATGACAGTTACAAGTCACATTGAGAGTCGTAACAGGGTGTTACTCAAGCCACTCACTCTGAACACCGAATTTAAAAAACTCCGCAGAACAAAACCTACAAATACTGACGGAAAACTAAGAAGCCCCATGCAAATGAAACAGCCTTGTAATAGCTACTACGTTATGTCATTTTTGAATTCCAACAGAAATTTCATCGTCTTAACATATACCCCATGCCAACTAATCACTCGATCAAACAGAAATTAGGCACACCTACTGGTAACGATCAACCGCAGTCACACAAACCGAAAAGTAGTACAAGTCTTTCGGTTCAGGGAAACACCGTGATAGCTGTCCTTATGGTTATTGTTCGTTTACGTCGTCTCCCTCAGAACTTCCTTCTAACTTTGTTCAGAATCCGGAAATATTAGGGTGAAAGCCTGTCTTCTCAAAGTGCTCATATAATCGTCATCAACCAGCAAAAACGATTAGCTGATAATGAATAGCTCCGTATATATCAAGATCTCTGCTATCCTCTTTTAGAAAAGACGAATTCATTAGTCTCTAATTCACAGACAGCCACCTTTCTTCAACCGCCCAAATGAACATCGAGACGTCTGTACTCAAGCTGCAGTGTGGTTCACGTGATACAAAACCAAGCGTCTGACCCATTTAGATCGATTCACAACTTCACGTATCGGCTAAAAGCCCAAACATCTCAGATGTGATTGGTACATGGTTAAAGCTTCTGAATGCTGTTAGCCTAGTGGGTGAATTTAATGGATGAAAACTCCTTTTACCAACATCATGGAGAATGTCCATTACTAAAGGTTTTTGAGTTAAAAGAGTGTTTCTCTGGTCTTTATAATGTTCAACAGATTGTTGAAATATTTTACGGAACGAGTTTTAAACGTTGTGTGACAGGTTTTCTTATCTGTTCCGATTAAAGGTCACGAGATTTTAATTCATCCATGTCTATGGTCGATTGAATTTCAGAACTTGACAACGGACTTTGGAAATAGGTTTCCACGTGATCGTGGAGCAGCGCGAATCAAAAGTTAGTGTGCAGAACCTGCCCGGATATAACGTGCAATGGCGTTTGCGACCATTGCCTGTTACTTTTTATTGACCTTGTTGGTTACTTTGGTGAACTGAAATGATGGAATGTGGGCTCTCAGTATTGAGAATGAATGATGTGCGGTAGCGAACCTCTGATTTGAACGGATGCCATTATATGGGTAAACACTGAAAGACGTGTACAACAGTATTACCACCAACGTTCGACCCCAAGTACACAAAGCTGTGGTCCGAAGTAAGCGTAGTTAACAAGTTACGTTCAACTTTCCACGTCGGTTCATCAAGTTTCTGCTGTTTCTTTATGGTTATGCTGCCAGTGTTGCACAATTTTTGGTAGTAGTCTTAACCATATACATAGCAGCGCGGCACACTCTGATGGTGAATTCTACCACGATGCAATACTTTTAACCTATGTGGGCAAGAGTCCTTATGCTCTCCCGAAATTCCCGCAGATAAAAGGACATTAACTGTAGATTTACACATTACACTCGACCAGGAATGTGATAATTACAGAAAGAAAACAACGCTACAAGTAAGAATACCCATTCTCTCCATTCATGGTGATCGACTTATTCCGATGTGTGACCGGTGATTGGGCTGGAGATTTCTCGAAAAATTTTTCAACCCTTGTCCAGCTAATGTTTACGCTGTGAATAAGGATATCAATTTCTGTCTGGTGAACTTTGCCTCACAACCGGTCAGCCTAGTGTCTATCAACGGACGGCAGCATAGCTCCATAATGAACTGCAACTAAAACACCTTTGTAAAATGGGAAGTATCTAAAATGACTCGAAAATATCTCGAAAAGCGTTGGTGAATAGTCCGTGTAATTCGGCCTTTAGTATCGAAATAATGATTTACCTCCAGAATTCTATCAGGAACGTTTAGCATTCTTGCTTAGTCATACTGGGGAATCGATCATATCATTTCTTTAAATTCCAGCTGGCTCCATTATTAAGCGGGTTTGGGAGTAAAGTGAAGCTCGGTCCAGGTGGACTGATAGTAGAAATGGTGGGGTTGTCAGTTCGACACCCGGATTCCATCCCCCATACGCATCTTTACATTAAATTCTGATATTCTGTATTTACAATGTATAAGCAGAGGAGGTTTGAAAGTAACAGAGTAAGCATGAAGGGTTGGCATTCGAAACGAGTCATTTAGTCGACGATGACTGATCTGCTAAGCGCCTGTACACAGTAGGTAAAGAACAGACTATTTGCACGGGAACGGAACGAGTTGCTATGTGAACTTCGCTTGCGCCTTGGCAAGCACGACAAGTCCACGCTGAGGTTCATCAACTGCCTCGAGTATGAAGACATCACAATAATTAATAGCGGTTGTTCTTTTACACGAAGAAGCTGACATCGTCCGTCACTTCTTGCAGGCCTAAGCGAAATGTCACAATCCCCATCCCCCGAGATTGATTATCAGTACCGTGCCAGTTAGGTGTGAATGCATAACTACGCTGTGAACCAGTAGTCGGCTACTGGTCACTCGCAGTGTCGTCCATATCATAACAGTAGCGAATATTTACTACAAACCAAAGCTTCCTGGACTATGGAGCTTCCCTGTTCAATGACCCAAAAGGTTTCACTAACACAGCTCCAAAATGTTGGCTCCTTTCTCAACCCACATACACTGTTAAGGAAGTCGCCCTTTTTGTGAGCCTATTTTCTTTTAAAAGCCGCGTGCCCATGATGCATCTGTGAGATATTCCCATATTTTCATATTGTGTGAATAACAATAGTTATGGCTTGCTGTTGCAGTAGATGATCCAACTTCTACGACATCCTATCCACTTTGCCGTTTACGTATCGCCCTTCGAACTTCAGTCTTCGTAGGTGAATTGGACGATTCCATAGGCAGTAGAGACTGAGGCAAAAGAGCTTGAAAGGTACGTAGTATTGAAGACTGTGCCCTAAAGGCGACTACAATAGCTCCGAACATTTCAGATGTTCGGTCATTTTAAGCTTCTTGCATCTTGTACCTTTCAGCGATCCGAAGAATTCCTTGTAAAGCCACTGATCTTCACAGTTGGGTGTTTCCTTTTTAAGCTACTGTTCATTCTGTTGTCTGCGCGAACGGATTAAATTGTACACCTCTTGAACAATACGACATTTTCTAGCACCTCACGACAGAATTTTCGTTCATTTCATCGATTATGCAAAACATAAATGCGTGATTTTTATAAAGTCAATCTGGGCAGTTTGGGAGGAATAATAGCTGGTAAAATTCAGTACACGAACTTCACTACAGGAACAAAACTACCGTTGTTCAAAAACACTTTAGTAGGCAGAAATCGGACGTCTCTCGCCAAGGGTCCGAAATTTAAACTGGGGCTCCCATCCAAAAATATGTCAGTATTGATTTCGTCCAGCAGAACAAAGCCCGAAACCAGAGCCATCTTTTATAATTATGATTTACCTCATCCGTAATCGTGAATAGTATGCATCTCGTGAATTTTGAGTGGCATTTAAACCGGAGACTATCCAGTAAAGTGTACAATATATATCCAGGAATAGAATGACCGCCCCATCCTGAGAATTCTCCCAGGTCTGTCCGAAAATTTGTCAACACAGACGAATAACAAACATCATTTTGTAGCGAAATACAGTCCTTTGCAAACAAATTTTGGTTTTGCGAGAGACTCACCTGAATCCGGTCGAAGAATTTTCAGCAACCATATGAGTATTACGATACGAATAAACACAGTTTTTCTTGCCCAGGCGGTAGCATTTGGAAATATGTGTTCTGAATACTTCATCTCAAACCATTATTACAAAGCTTGGCCGTGAGTAGTATCACGGTGTTAAGGCCAAACCTGACATTTAGCAGCCATCGAATAACATTCCCGTATACTTGGTTTAATGCTTGTTCTCAACCGTTATGGAACCCCCCTGGATGCCAGGTAACTACTCCACCACAGTGATTTTCCCCAACCGAAACCAATTCACTGTTATGTCCGACGTGTGATGCTGAGCCTTTTACCTGAAGGGCATTCTACGCAGCGTATTCCTACAGTATCCAACGATAAAACCCGTTTCACTGAAGGGAAATGTGTACATCGTGACTGTCGTGCTGTCCAAGAAAAGGCCCTCAGAATCAACGCGAGGGTTATTTTCTTTTTCATTTGAATAGGTGGCTTTCTATGCAAGCATCATTTAGGATTTACTTCATCAAGAAAAGGCCCTCAGAATCAACGCGAGGCATCATTTAGTATTTACTTCACTTTCGGACGTTCCATAAAACGTTCCATCGCGTTTAATGGCCGTGAGCATACCTCCTCTCAGTTTGGACCACGGCTCAATTTCTGAAAAAATGTTTGTCCAAACTCATCCTTATAATGTACAAAACAATCACCGTCCACTTATCAAACATGCAACCTGACACCTTTGGCTTCCCGAACTTTGTCCGCTTCAAGTTCGAATAATTGTTCAATGGTCATGAAATTCAAATTGTTGCTTGCATTTTTGTACAGTCACACTTGTGTATGATACTAAAATATAGATGAGACGAGCCACCAGTTCCTTCCGGTCCCACCCAGGCTCCGCACTTCATGTGGAGTAGTTTAAAAGCTGTCTAATTTTTTAGTTTCACGAAAGGAGCAACACACCTTGTCAAATGCTTTCATGTCACCCTAGGGAGGCACGTGTAGTGACATAGGGTCAAGGTACCCAAGCCTAAAATGAAGCAGTCGAGGTGCCTTGGCTACCGAGCTACCTCACGTGTTCAGAACGGATTTACAGCACCTCGGCGAATGATTCCGCATGCACTGACAGATGGCGCAGCCACCAATTTAGTGCCTCCTCGGGTGTTGCAGCCAGCTGAAGATGTGGTCGACAAAGGACCCTTGAGAGCTGCACAACAAGGAGTGCCAAAGCACTATTTTCCAATATGTGTGATGTGCACACACTTATGGCGAGCTACATTCCGTAGCTAGGGTTCATATTTGGCTTTGAATCACGTGTCCTAAATGTGCTAACACGTTCGAATTTGCACGTGAATATTCTTTATGTCAAATCAAAACCACGGTGATAAAGTGGGCACGGAAATATCCCATATATTAGCAACAATTCGGTGTTAATCATACCCGGGTAAAATGGCTCGCAGATGACATTAATACCGAATGACTTGTGGGTGAGATATTTCTGCTAACCAACCAACCGATAGGCTATTTTTGGCATGGCCTGTTCAACCCGGTGTGCGGTCGAATTCGAACTTGTTACTTATTTCATCCGACGTAAATTTGTGTCTCATGTCCTTAGTTTTCTGCTATCTGGTGGATCTGCTGTGCCTGTTGTCAAGGCCGCCTCTAGAAAATCCGGTTGAATTGGGTCGTCTCACCTCGCTCTCTGCACCACTTCTTCGGTAACTGCTTCGTTACTACACGTAAAATCTCAACCTTTACCAGTAAGGGAGCAATAAGTAAGTGATGGCTTACACATGAAGTTTTGGAAGTTGGCGTTTCGCCAAGAATCTGCGAATACGAAAGAAAACCGTACAAATTATATAATAAAACGTGAATGTGACAAAAGGCATGAAGTTGTTCGTCTTATTCTACGTTGTGATTTTCAAACTTCTGATGACATTCAAAAACTCACGACAAGGCTTTACAATGTCCATTCAAAATCTGCATAAAAACGATGTACTTTCGCACGGACTAAAATAAACCTACGCGTATTTATCGAAAAACACTTTTGCGATAAAAGATACTTATGTCGAGATGGTTCACTGATTGTTATAGCCCATGACCCATGAACTATCCAGGGTATATCTCCTATAGGCTAAACTAACAGAACCAGGCAATGGCAGATCAGCTTTTACTTTACCTCAAGTTTTTCGCCAAAAAAATAAAACTTACGCCTGTACAACCCGGTTAATCCATTCAAACGTATGAAGGCTCTGCGACTATTATTGAATGCAAAAAGACAGAGAGTAGGGCGAGCGATAAAGAAGTGGGACGGACTGACAGGCGGGTGTGGTTAAAGCTCATCCCGTTCGATTGGATAATACGATCGATCAGTGTGGATGGAGTTTGTACAACCAAACAGCTCATTGTGGTCCAATCCCAGCTGCACGAGGGAAATGAAGTCAAATGCACACGGACGCACGCGCCACAATACGCTTGCTTGAAGACGCGCACGTGCACTCAACACACACACACACGCACAGGACAGGGTGAGTGGTGATCAGTGAACGGTAGGAGAGTTGAAGCATGCGAAGAGTTCAGGTTGTCTTAGTCCAGCCAAAGAGTCGATTTAATTCTGGACTTCAAATCCAGGGGACAACCGCTTCCATTAGCGTTCGATTATTTTTTGTCACCTCACGTCAACACATATGGTGTAGCAACTGCGTCTGTCTGTTACTAGCACTGTTATATCATTGTGCTTCTAATGTCGATTTCCAGAAGCTTGAACTGCGAACGATTTTTAGCAACCTTGTGAGTACTTTCCTTTGTGAAAACGATTGCAAGGTTTTAAACAGAACTTTAAGACATGCCTTATTGATAACTTTACTGACGATGTCGAATAAATTTCATATATGCGGCACATTTTCAAGTGATACACCTGAGGGAGCCAGTTGGGCGGTACAAAATAGTTGCTTTGCATTCCACCTTTGGAAGAAGTAAACAGTAAAATCAGTCACGAAATCTTTGGAGATCCCCTGGAATGGTGTTTCATCTCCCATGGAGAAACTGCTCGATCAATTTAGGAAACGGAAAATTAAATGTCGTAGAATTACCATGTTTCCGGCCACCCATCTCATAAATTTCGCATGCTAAAATGTTATCGAATGCTTCCGAACGCAAACGGTTGCCGTTCTTTCATGTAAAAAGTCCCGTAGGAACAACTCACTGTGTTTTACATCAGTACTTCGTAGATGACAAAACAATGTAAAAAAAAGGCAGGTTCTGACACACTATCAGATGTAAATGTGTGGAAATGTTCAAGATCGTCAACCTCATGCGCAGCAGTGTGCAAAACGAACCTGGGAGACAATTTAAGGACCAAATGCGACAGTATCCAGCAGTTGAACCTGTCAGTATCCTGTTTCCAATTCTCACGCACAGGAACTAAAGTATGGACTCATAAAGAACAAGTGTTTTGTTGTTGGAAAAATAACGAACCAGTATGCACTGAGCACCCTTAAGAGAGGGATAGAGGTAGTCTCTCATCAGCGCAAAAATGCATTTAAGTGGGCTTTTCTAAGCAAACTATGTCCAACATTTACCCCCAGAAACAGCCCATGGTCTGAGCTTCGTGACTGCATGGTTGGAAACTTTGAATTTTTGCTTTACTAAGGTTGATCTCTTTGGAGGGGGTATCTTCACTGACAGTGTGCACTGGATGGTCACTCCGGCTGAACTCCCCGAAAAGTAATCCGGTCCCTCAATAACCTTACAAAAGCGCTGATTAGGACGCTAATAAAAACCAGTGGGTCAAATCGACGACGCTTTATGGAGTGAGGCTTTTATGTATCGACTACTGTCAGCAGAACTCATCTATCCTGTTGGATCAACACCATATTTTTCCTACGCACCCCAAGAAGGCCATTGAGTAGGACGGGAATTACTTCACCTGATAAAACGCGGCACTTCGTAATCATGTCTCGCAGTCAAAAAGCTGAAACAAGCCTTTATTAGACGTGCCTTACCGCTCAGCTTACGTTGATGTGCCATCTTAAGCAGTAGTTTATTCGAATACTTCAAAAAATACGGCTTTCTTTTGGATTTAAATAGCATTGTAAGTAAAAAAGCCAGTGACAGTAGTAGTTAGCTAGTTCTAGCGAGTGTACGCTATGGACCGTGGAGAGTTGTGAAATGTAGGTAGCTCGGGTGAGCTTCTTGGTTGTTGGTCTGTTCGCCGTGCTTGGCAGTTGGATTGTAAACATTTCATCACCGATCGTCAATGCAGGGTTCAGTGACCCACTTAACCCTGCACTGATGATGTCACCTCGCTTGGTGATGAAACGTTTGCAATCCAAATGCCGAGCTCAGCGAGCAGATCAACAATCAAAGATCGTAGAGAGGTTTCAACAGGTTCCGGATCGAAAACGGATCGAGTCAAGGAAAAACAGTCAGAAACAGACTATTCCACAGAGACGGATAGCAACTGACGAAATACCAACTCCTTGTGTCTGCTAGATGTGTCCAGTACTTTTTGTTTGTTTTTACACTGTATCTTTACACAGGTGCCAAGCTCCCGAGAGGGCTTCATTAGTGCGCGCTAGTGGGGTTACTTCGCATCGTGCCGAAACATCTACAATCTAATTTCTGGCTAGACGAACAGATCAACGGTCACCTGATCAATCACAATTTGTCGCGTCAATCAGATCATTTCATTTCTGTTGATGGGTGTTTTTTCAGTTGCATCATTGATGTTCTTTTTCAATTTCTCAGTATTACATTCCGCTTTCCTATACTATACAACTGTGATTTGGACCGCTTTGTCTGACTGGCATCAAAAACGTAGTTCTATCGAACCTGGGCATCACTAATTCATTATTAGACCATTAAAACTTCAAGGATCCAATAAACTCCTTGACGGACCATTGATCTTACGGCTTAAGTTTGTTATAAAACTCTAAATCGTCACAGTGACATCGTTTTCCTATTGACTGATTGAGTGTCCTCTACACGAGGGCTCTGTAAATTGACGAGTCCTCATTTATGTCTAAAATACCTACTGAGATGATAATGGCTATCGGTTGCACCACATATTCGGCTGAAGAAACCCTCCATGAGATCGCCTGAGCACGGAAGTCAGTGATCTATAAAACATTTTTGTTGACGAGTGGTCTATAAATATGAACGACTGAGTACAGAGCAGAGCTAGCAATAATCAGATGAACCACGAATCGGGCCAGGTCAATACTACGCCGTCTGTCTCTCCACTGAATCTAGATTGCTTACAACTTAATCGTTTAAAAAATGCCTACTTCGAGTTCCCAAGTTTCTCTCACCAGTATGTAATGAAGTGGTAAGTAGTTCCAATATACGGTCATTTGCACTTTAGAAGAGGTGTGCTGGGATCCCAAAGGGGTCAATCAGCGAGACCTTCCATGCCTTCTGGGGTCTATCAGGTGGACGTAGAGAATGACAGGTGAGTATCGAGGATTATTCAGCCAAGACACTCTGGTCATTTACCACTAATCACATTATAAGACTCAGTTACTTTGTATTTAGTTTCACAAACCAGTTGACAAAAGCATGGATCCGGGGCAGACAGCCTGAAACTGCTAACAACAAGGTCATGCATATGATCACTGCATGTTCGTTTGACTGGGCAGACAAGAACGAAAGACCCCTCATGGTCTTCACCAAGTTCACCACCAATATTCGTATCAAAAATAAAACATTTTTGAGCAACATATCCATAACTATCGTTCACGGCGTTCCAGAGTGGTTAGCTGTAAAATTTTTATTATATGGCCTTCTTAATAATGCTGCCAGTATCATGCTTGACCATCCTCGATGACCAAGCCGATGTAGGTAAAGGGTTGCTTGTCGTGGAATTTTCGTGGCATCTCACCGAAAAGAAAGCAACAGAGAGCCTGGCTTTCGTATCAATACGAACCGATCCTCTTGACGGACAAATCAAAAAACAGAACCACAACTTGTCGTGGAATTTTCGTGGCATCTCACCAAAAAGAAAGCAACAGGGAGCCTGGCTTTTGTATCAATAAGAACCGATTCTTTTGACGGACAAATCAAAAACCACAACCACAGCCATCTACCTCATTCACCGTAAATTCACTCCGAACTAATGCATCAAGTGCTCGCATAAGACTGACCTTGAAATCTCTGTCGTTCCTATCCCAAATCGAATTTAGACCGTGAGCAGACACATCTGCTTAAACAAACACGTGAAAACAGCCTAAAAAATCACGATGTACACGTAACAAACCAAACTGATACAGTGTGGACAAATTTTTAGTTTCTAACAAATACTGCAGTCATACTTTGTTTAGGTGAGCAGAATAAGAAAGCTCAAATCACTGATTTGGTCCATAGGCCTTTTCTAGCTATTGAAAACTATAGAGTGGAGCTTCGCCTCGACTGATGATAAAAATTTTCTATCCAGACGCTTTATGGAGTGAGGCTTTTATGTATCGACTACTGTCAGCAGAACTCATCTATCCTGTTGGATCAACACCATATTTTTCCTACGCACCCCAAGAAGGCCATTGAGTAGGACGGGAATTACTTCACCTGATAAAACGCGGCACTTCGTAATCATGTCTCGCAGTCAAAAAGCTGAAACAAGCCTTTATTAGACGTGCCTTACCGCTCAGCTTACGTTGATGTGCCATCTTAAGCAGTAGTTTATTCGAATACTTCAAAAAATACGGCTTTCTTTTGGATTTAAATAGCATTGTAAGTAAAAAAGCCAGTGACAGTAGTAGTTAGCTAGTTCTAGCGAGTGTACGCTATGGACCGTGGAGAGTTGTGAAATGTAGGTAGCTCGGGTGAGCTTCTTGGTTGTTGGTCTGTTCGCCGTGCTTGGCAGTTGGATTGTAAACATTTCATCACCGATCGTCAATGCAGGGTTCAGTGACCCACTTAACCCTGCACTGATGATGTCACCTCGCTTGGTGATGAAACGTTTGCAATCCAAATGCCGAGCTCAGCGAGCAGATCAACAATCAAAGATCGTAGAGAGGTTTCAACAGGTTCCGGATCGAAAACGGATCGAGTCAAGGAAAAACAGTCAGAAACAGACTATTCCACAGAGACGGATAGCAACTGACGAAATACCAACTCCTTGTGTCTGCTAGATGTGTCCAGTACTTTTTGTTTGTTTTTACACTGTATCTTTACACAGGTGCCAAGCTCCCGAGAGGGCTTCATTAGTGCGCGCAAGTGGGGTTACTTCGCATCGTGCCGAAACATCTACAATCTAATTTCTGGCTAGACGAACAGATCAACGGTCACCTGATCAATCACCAATTTGTCGTCAATCAGATCATTTCATTTCTGTTGATGGGTGTTTTTTCAGTTGCATAATTGATGTTCTTTTTCAATTTCTCAGTATTACATTCCGCTTTCCTATACTATACAACTGTGATTTGGACCGCTTTGTCTGACTGGCATCAAAAACGTAGTTCTATCGAATCTGGACATCACTAATTGATTATTAGACCATTAAAACTTCGAGGATCCAATAAACTCCTTGACGGACCATTGGTCTTACGGCTTAAATTTGTTATAAAACTCTAAATCGTCACAGTGACATCGTTTTCCTATTGACTGATTGAGTGTCCTCTACACGAGGGCTCTGTAAATTGACGAGTCCTCATTTATGTCTAAAATACCTACTGAGATGATAATGGCTATCGGTTGCACCACATACTCAGCTGAAGAAACCTTCTATGAGGTCGCTTGGGCACGGAAATCAGTGATCTATAAAACATTTTTGTTGACAAGTGGTCTATAAATATGAACGACTGAGTACAGAGCAGAGCTAGCAATAATCAGATGAACCACGAATCGGGCCAGGTCAATACTACGCCGTCTGTCTCTCCACTGAATCTAGATTGCTTACAACTTAATCGTTTAAAAAATGGCTACTTCGAGTTTCCAAGTTTCTCTCACCAGTATGTAATGAAGTGGTAAGTAGTTCCAATATACGGTCATTTGCACTTTAGAAGAGGTGTGCTGGGATCCCAAAGGGGTCAATCTGCGAGACCTTCCATGCCTTCTGGGGTCTATCAGGTGGACGTAGAGAATGACAGGTGAGTATCGAGGATTATTCAGCCAAGACACTCTGGCCATTTAGCACTAATCACATTATAAGACTCAGTTACTTTGTATTTAGTTTCACAAACCAGTTGACAAAAGCATGGATCCGGGGCAGACAGCCTGAAACTGCTAACAACACGGTCATGCATATGATCACTGCACGTCCGTTTGACTTCCCCGACAAGAACGAAAGACCCCTCACCAAGTTCACCACCAATATTCGTATCAAAAACAAAACATTTTTGAGCAACATATCCATAACTATTGTTCACGGCGTTCCAGAGTTGTTAGCTGTAAAATTTTTATTATATGGCCTTCTTAATAATGCTGCCAGTATCATGCTTGACCATCCTCGATGACCAAGCCGATGTAGGTAAAGGGTTGCTTGTCGTGGAATTTTCGTGGCATCTCACCAAAAAGAAAGCAACAGGGAGCCTGGCTTTTGTATCAATAAGAACCGATTCTTTTGACGGACAAATCAAAAACCACAACCACAGCCATCTACCTCATTCACCGTAAATTCACTCCGAACTAATGCATCAAGTGCTCGCATAAGACTGACCTTGAAATCTCTGTCGTTCCTATCCCAAATCGAATTTAGACCGTGAGCAGACACATCTGCTTAAACAAACACGTGAAAACAGCCTAAAAAATCACGATGTACACGTAACAAACCAAACTGATACAGTGTGGACAAATTTTTAGTTTCTAACAAATACTGCAGTCATACTTTGTTTAGGTGAGCAGAATAAGAAAGCTCAAATCACTGATTTGGTCCATAGGCCTTTTCTAGCTATTAAAAACTATAGAGTGGAGCTTCGCCTCGACTGATGATAAAAATTTTCTATCTAGATTGCCAAACTCATGAGTTTCTTCAGAATCGGTACGTAATTGCCAAACTCATGAGTTTCTTCAGAAATCGGTACGTAATGAGGCACATCCGTCGTTAAATATGTAGAGGAGGAAAAGAGAGTTAATCTGGTTTTTCGCATCTGGCTTTACGTAGTCATCCGAAGAATAACCCAATCCTACGAGTGTTTCCCGACTGACGGTAAGGCATTTATGACCTATTAGCCGAGGACACAAGAAGTTGCTTGCTGTTCTCTTCCTTATAACAACTTTCACGGATAACTTCATTTATGTTCTTGGTTATATCTGTTCAGATGTATTCACTTTTTGTACAAGCGTATATACAAAAGTGGACAACAGAACAGAGCTTATGTTGTGGAAGGAATTAATTCCCTGGAGGGTTTGAACCAATACATGCTAGCATTCAGGGGACAGTGCAAAATGCTTTGCAAACCAAAGACTGTTTTCAGGATTCTGTAATACAACAAAACACAATGATATAGTTGTTCCTCTTCAAAAGTATCTTCACACTGACCGAACGCCTTCTAGAAAACCGTCGAATATGACACAATCGGGATCAGTCGAGCATCTCCATTAGGAGGGCGTCGTGTGCGTCCAGAAATGGGCCTAAGCAATCCAGTGTGGGAGTGATGAGTATGGTTTCAGTAACGTTTTGTCAGGATAAACAGATTTTCTGGTGATTTGAATGCATGAGACGTTGCATCTCGAACTACACACTAGTTTCCGGAAGTTGAAATGTCTGCATTCGACGGATTTGTTATATTCGTGAGGCGTTACTTCAAGGTCATCGGTAGTTCCGGCGAACCACTCCGTTATTTAATTGACAAGCTACATTTTGTGAACTGGAAACTTGATCGTTAGAAATGGGTCGTCTTTTTGCGGTGAATGCGAACTAGAAGGGCGAATTAACGATGTTCCAACCCTGTTTTTTATACCATAATGAAAACCCGAGGCAGAAGATGGTTTTTCCTTCCCGATTCTTTCCGAACACTCTCCTGAAGCAGGAACCAGCCTGAATTAAACGTCTTGAGTCAGTGTGCGTTGATCGGAAAATCCGGGCTTTTATCTCTTAGATAGCCAGTTCTACTTAGTTAAGGCGTTGAGTTTTACATATACGTTTTGTGTAGATAGCGCTTCACTGTAAATTGTAAAGAAAAGAATGAGAGTGGACAAAGAAGCGGCTTAGTGCTAACCCACCACAATCCTTCCAAAATGCGTACACGTTCAGACCATCTGGATATAGAGTGACAACAAGAGCTCCACTGACATCCATTAGCAGTTATATCTTGCAGCGGCTTCAGCCATTCACAGGGGAGAATCACGTCGCCTCCATCCTGGAAGGAGAGTCTCATTGAGAGAATCCCGACTCCTCGTAATCGATTTCATACTCCTCTGCAGGTCACAGTTTGACCACTACTCAGCTTGTGCCATTTGGAATCGGGCAGGACGCTTTTTTGTAAACGATAATTTGACGTGTAAAACATGTCCTAACTACCGCATCTTTAATCTGCAGGTCACAGTTTGACCACTACTCAGTTTGTACCACTTAGAATCGGACAGCACGCTTTTTTGGGAAACGATAAGCTGACGTGCAAAATATGTCCTAACTACCGCATCTTTGGTGCTAGACGCATTCTTGGACTGATGCCCTGTTTATAAACAACAAAGTATAAATAAGCTCAAAGTGCATAGCTTTAGAATACTTCTCTTATTTGAAGTTGAGCAGAAGCCATAATTTGGAAGCATTTGACATTTCGTTTACGTTTTCAATAGAAAATACCGGAAGTATCAAGTTCAACTTAAACAACAAAGAGAAAATACCCATTCAGTGTCAAGAAGGACAACCGGATGGAGCCGTTTTTATGTGTAGGTACGCATTTTGGTCAAGTGAACGCTCCCACTTTCGGAAAGAAAGAAAGACAATTACAAACGAGAATGGCCTGAATTCAGGGGGCTTGCGACCTTCCATTCATGAGCTTAGTTTCGTTCAAGTTCACGTCGCTTGAGGAAATCAGATGGTACGGGATAAAACAAAGGGAAAGGGATTAGTTGATATTGGGGGACCTGGGAAAATATTACGTGGGCTAATCGAGCTAAATTGAGCTTTGATGCAAATTTGATTTGTTTCAAAAGGCTGGGATGAATCCCCTAATGTTTTCGTACTCATCAGTTAGGTCATTGGTCTGTTGGTTCATCACTAGATGGCACGCCGTTGCGCTTTTCGGTGCTTTATCTTCACAAGTGGCAGTAGTATCCTACAGGGTGCGATGTTTTTGGTAAGAAAAACAGCATTTCGTACATGATTCTGCTAGTTAAACAGTTCTTCAGCCGCAGGTCACGGGTTTAATCATGATTTAGTGGGAATAATTTGCACAAAATTGGGCTTCCGTCCATTATTTTATTAGAAAAAGATTAATACAACCACATGAAGGGTAGAAGAGAGCCAATCTCCCGCCTCCAACGCGCAGCTACCAACCCCCCCCCCCCCATACCATTTGTAAAAAAAAACGGTCGGAGA